AAGTCACAAGTTTCTTGCTTGGCTTATATCCATTGTATAGGGTTTTGGGTTTTTTTGTTTTATAAGAGTGGGGTGCAGAAAGAAGGAAAAGATCAGGGACAACCCACAATAATTTTTTAAAGGTATATATAGTCATTTACTACATCTTTTACATCAGTTTCAAATTAAACAGATTTATATCCACTTACAGCTGAATGTGAGAAAATTTTTAAGAAAAAAAGTTGTAACATTGGAGGTGTCCTTCAGGCCTCTCACAGCCATAAACACTCTTGGGGGAGCAGAGGAAGCAGAAGAAAAGCTGGCTGCAGCGCTTTGTGGCTCACAAGTCTTTATAAATAGTAGTGCCTTTCAGAGGGGAGGATGGGAGATAAAGAAGTTCATTGTATTTAGATTGACTGATATTGCAGCATTTTTTCTTTAAAATATCTTTTAAATGAAACCATCTGAACATAGGGTGAGCCCAGGAATTCTTGAGTTTCAACCTCGACTGTTCCTGATTCGTCCTTTCTTACAGAAAGTCTTTGGTTTTTTTCTGCCCCAAATATCCCCATTGTGAAAATGGGAGTTGGGGGGAAGGAGGGAGGAATTAATCTCATAGGAATGTGGGGAAAATACCTTAGTTGGGATGTCTAGAAAATACTTGGATTTTTTAAAAAGTGCTACACACTGCCAGTGCTAAGAATTTTTTTGATGGTAACTTTGAACATTCCAAGATTTCAATATTCATGTCTTTAGATACCATTTACAAACTCATGAGATTAAATTATGTAAATTGATTTTAATTGGAAGTACTAGGTGCTCTTTGTCTGAATGTTTTTTTTATCTTAGCCTGTAATTTCAATAATTTAAAAGCTTATTTACAGAAAAAGGTTAGGAGAACTGATGAAGTGTTTGTCAATAAACTGTTTTCTCGAGTATGTCTTATGGCAGAAGCACAAAGTAAGATGCCCTCGAAAGTAACCACGATTCTCTTCTCAAGCTTTATACAGAGAAAAGCCCAAACAGCCACTTTCCTCACTGGGAGGGCAGAGAGGAGAATAAAATATTTTCTGATATCAAAACTCATTTCTTTAGAATCTCACAGGTTTCTATAATAAGAGGCAAATTAAATGCACAGGTGTAGAAATGAACTTAGTTTTTGGAGGGAAAACTTTGGATCTTTTTCTTTTTTTTAGATAATTAGATGTTCTGGAAGTAGCATATTTGTTTTTCCATAGTCTCCATGATTTAGTGCTGGTGAGTCAGTTGTTACTTTTTTCTTGCCTTGTGGAAGAGCATGGACATTGTGAGACTACAAAGGGGCAAATATATTATAAACTAGATGCTGGTTATTTCTGTATATTAAGTAAAACTTTGTCCCATAAATTTGATAGAGGAGGAAATATTTCAAACATAAGGGTCTTCATAGTAGGGAAAAAGTGCAAACTCACCACATCCTTGTTCAGTTTTGAGAAATGTGGGGCTTATTTATTTCCCTCCTGTGTAGCATATCTGTGGAGTCTGGGTTAGGCAACCACAGCATGTGAGCTTTCAGTGGGTTTATTTGCATTACAGTTTTCTTAACTATTTAAAATCTAGGGATCATTAGGAAATGAATAACTAAGGTTAGAAAAGATAAGATTTACCCATTCTCTACTAAGACAAGGGGAACTACTATGTTAATATACATTTTCTAAAAACTAAAAGGTTCTTTGTTTCATTAATTCTAGAGGGTTAAAAACAGCTGAAATTTGTCCATAGCATTAGATGTCTTTAATAGAGAATATTATTCATGTGAGAACTATATACAAAAATAGTAGAACACAGGCCATATTTTCTATGAAAGACATTTCTCCCTCATTTTCAATACATGTAGAAGTTAGAGGAGAGGAAAAAGCAATTACTCTTAAGACAAATTTTCATCTTTAAGGGACATTTATGAAAAGATTGAAATTAATACTCATGGGCTATTGTGTTTCCTGTTAGCCTATTTGCTAGGAGATTCTAAATTGTGGTCAGATTTTGTTTTTATTCAGATGAACAAGATTAACTGCTTATTCAGATAACTGTTATTTTGGATAGTGAGGATGGCTGAAGAAATGGAATGGAAAAGAGCTAGCTGAGGAATAGCTAGTGTAAGAGTTACATCAATGCCTGACTTCCGTCAAGAAATGAAGCCACATCTTGGAGTATTATGGGGACTGTTACTATGATCTCAAAGACTGTGGTTATGAATTTGAAGGTAACAAAACATACATCTTCTCTTACTAACTTAAGCCATATATGTCATCTCTATGATTGATTTTTTTTGACCCTGGTGCTTTTACTTCTGTTTCTGCCAAACTTTGGCCTACTGTATGGGGAAGGTGACTAAGTAAAACTAGTAGTTAGGACAAATGTGAAGACTGTGAAAAAACTAAACATGTTCTTCAGAACGAGATCCTAGTCAGAGAACAGTAGTGATCAAAGTGCAAATTGTTGGAAAATATGGATATATGTACATCTGTACATGTATATAGTGTATAATATGTATGTATATGTTATTGCTCATATGCAGAAATCTATCCATTTGAAGACAGCCCAGGTGGATCAGTTTTCTAGTAGAAAACCATTTAGGGCCATTCAAAACCATTAGGGCTGATGGGTAGAGTTAGAGTCTACTCATTGGGGATTTACTTGCTGTCTTTTGAAGCTACAAAGCCAAACGAACAAAGCTTGAAACATAATGGGACCATCATTTAAGTTATTGTTTGCCTAGAGTCAGAAGAATATATTTGAATATTTAACAGTTGGTTTGCAAATTTATTGGCACCTCTTGGTTTTGAGTGATTCCTCCCCACCAAGTCTTTTGAGAGTTTGGGGGTGGGCTTCTCTGGCCATTCAGATAAAGGGCCTTATCCATAAGTGGACAGGTTTCCCCATAGGGACCATTACACATATACATATAAGTACATACTTCCATCAGGCTTGTAACAATTGATTTAAAATCACTCCACAGTATTGATAAATAGCTCTATATTTTCAAGGTGCAGAAGAATTCCACAGCCTTAATTATTTCAGTGTCTTGCTGGTCTGCCTTAAGTGTATCTTCTGGGTTTTTGGTTGTCTCATTATTTTTAAATTTTTCTGCAGTTGTTCATTTTGTATGCACACAATGTCGTTTTGTAAAGGTAGGTTGTAAATATTTTATTTGTAAGTCAAAATCACTCATGTGTAATGTTGTAAAGTGATGACTTGCTGTCTTGTTATTATCATTACAGTAAATGTTCTAAGTTATGGATGAAGCTTCAAAATGTACATCTCAAGTTATGCATTCCTATAAATATACTATATTAAAGATTACTTCTGGTGGTCTTTTGTTTTCTTTTGAATTAAAATGTCTGGTAAAAGAAAAGAGTAATTTTTTTGTTCTTCCTTCAAATATACGAAAGCCTTTGACAAGATGAAAATATTGCAGTTTTATTAAAACACATTTTGCCCAGCATTTTGGAAAGAAAAGAACAATTTTGTAGCCTGAAGAAATACTCTAAGGCATTTCTCTATCTAAAAATGCCAAATAAGCCTCAATGTGTGTTGTTAATGTCATTCTGGTGTTTCATTTGGCAACTTTGTTAGAAAATTGTTAGGCCTTATGGGATGGATCTCACAAGTTTACACAATATATTGTGAACTCCAGGAGTCTGGAGTAGACTATGCAGACATAATCAGTCTTTGAAAGAGTCTGTGTGTGCCACCCAAATGCAAATGAAACTAATTCATAGTATATTGTCCATTAACTAGAGTGTGTTAAAATTAATACTGTAAAGGGAAAATCTCATTTAAAGTGGAGGGAGGAAGCCCTGAAGGAGGAGCTCTGTTGCACACACCAGCACATACCACCCTGTGCACCTCATTTTACATCCCTGGGTAGGAAGAGGTTTACTTAACTTCCTTAGCATGAGGATGGAAGATTTTCCTTGCCTACCAACAGTGCAGCCAATGAAAAGCAACCAAGAAACTGTCAGCCCATAAGAAACTGTCACCACCCTGAACTCTTGATTTACTCCAAAGAACTTTCCTTCAAAGCAAACCCTCCCAACTTCCCTGGCATCTTCATAAAGTAGCATTCCTCTCCTATGTTCTCCAGGATTGCTTATGGTTTGCCAGTTTCCATGCCAATAATGCAATTCCTCTGCCATTCCCAAGTAAAACTCATCTTGCTGGTACAGTAACTAGCCATTTTATTCTTTAGGTTGACAAGTATTAGGGATTGAAGTATTATGATTAGTTTATTTTGCAAACAAGAATAAAAATATCTTAAAGTTTGGTTTCTATTTCATCAAGATTTTACTGCATTTATTTGAAACGAGAACTGTCAAAAGCATGGGCTCCTTCACACTGGCTGGTCATCTTGTCTTCACAGAAAACACAGACATACATAAAGAAAATAAAACAGAAATAACAATCTATTTCAGTTCAGTTCAGTTGCTCAGTCGCGTCCGACTCTTGCGACCCCATGGACTGCAGCACGCCAGGCCTCCCAATCCATCACCCAGCTCCCAGAGCTTACACAAACTCATGTCCGTCGAGTCGGTGATGCCATCCAACCATCTCATCCTCTGTCATCCCCTTCTCCTCCTGCCTTCAACCTTTCCCAGCATCAGGATCTTTTTCAATAAGTCAGTTCTTCAAATGAGTCAGAATCAATTTGATGAGTGACAACTATAAGCCTTATGGTTTTAACGGTAATTACCTTTAAAGTATTGCCATCTACCCATAATGGGGATTTCCTCTAAGGAACTGATTTGTGAATACAAAATATATTTAGATTTTCAGACTGGCTGGCATGATATTTCTCCTGATAACCTTGATACCAAAGTATAAGTTCATCTTCCTCGTTATTTAGAACCCGGAGCCGCGCGCAGCGAGCCCGCCCAGCCGCCGGAAAAAGGGCCGGAAGAGGCGGGACTTCTCAGGTGGCGTCATCTGGCGCCGCGGCACGCTGATGTTTGGAGTTAGGAGTGAGCTGGGAGACCCGGACGATGGCGGCGGCTGATGGCCCTTTGGGGTCGTTGGTAACGGGTCTGTACGACGTGCAGGCTTTCAAGTTTGGGAACTTCGTGCTGAAGAGTGGGCTCTCTTCCCCCGTGTACATCGATCTGCGGGGCATCGTGTCTCGACCGCGTATTCTGAGTCAGGTACCTACGGGGGAAGGAAAGAACAGGGTTTCATGGCGTGAATGGGGACCAGGAGGAGTGGGGTGACAGGAACTGGGCTCTGGGTGAGGTCAAAAGAGCCACGCAGGAGGGCCGACCCTGCTTCGGCTTCCGGGAGTCGGTTTGCGGAACCCAGAGACCAGGAACTGTTAGGCTGTTTTAAGACCTAGAGGGCAGCCTGCTCGTAGACTGGCTTGGCGCTGACACGTGCTTTGCAGCCGAGTCAGGGAACCCAGTTGGGGGCCTTGGCTCGCACAGAAGTAGTTGAAGAAGTTCCACGTATTCAACTTCGTGAAAATGGGACGGGGAGGAAAAGGTGGGTGAGGGAAGAATTTAGTAGCTGCTTAAATACTTGGAAAACTCTTGCTAGGAAAAGGGGATTCGATTTTGGAATTTGTGGCCAGGAGCAAGAATTAAGGCCAGAGGGTGAACATTTCATGGAGGCAGTTCTTTGGTGAATAAAAGGGAAAAACTGTGTAGAAGTTAGAGATTTCTAGCACAGTGCTTCTCAAACTATGAGTATTTATGAATCACCTGGAATTTTGTTAAAATGGGTAATCATAGTTTGAGAAAGTAATCTGAGGCAGAATGGGAGGTTATGCTTTCCTCACAAGCTGCCGACCAAAGCTGCAGATCACAGTGTAAGTGAAAGTGAAGTCACTCAGTCGTGTCCGACTCTTTGTGACCCCACGGACAGTAGCCCACCAGGCTCCTCCGTCCATGGGATTTTCCAGGCAAGAATACTGGAGTGGGTTGCCATTTCTCCAGAGGATCTTCCCGACTCAGGAATCGAACCGAGGTTTCCGGCAGACGCTTTGCTGTCTGAGCCACTTGGGAAGTCCTGCTGCTGCTGCTGCTGCTAAGTCGCTTCAGTCGTGTCCGACTCTGTGCGACCCCATAGACGGCAGCCCACCAGGCTCCCCCGTCCCTGGGATTCTCCAGGCAAGAACACTGGAGTGGGTTGCCATTTCCTTCTCCAATGCAGGAAAGTGAAAAGTGAAAGTGAAGTCGCTCAGTCGTGTCCGACTCTTAGCGACCCCATGGACTGCAGTCTACCAGGCTCCTCTGTCCATGGGATTTTCCAGGCAAGAGTACTGGAGTGGGGTGCCATTGCCTTCTCCGAGGGAAGTCCTAGAAGGGTCTAAATGTGCTGTTTAATAGGGTTTCCTTGCCGCTTGTGAATATCCAACATTATGGGATTTTTGGGGGGTTTTTTTGGTTGCGCTAGGTCTTCGTTGCTGTCCATGATCTTTCTCTAGTTGTGGTCACCGGGGACTACTCTTCTGTGCCTGGGCTTCTTGTTGCTGTGGATTCTCTTGTGGAGTTCAGGCTCTATGCACTCTGACCTCAGTAGTTGTGGCACATGGGTTTAGTTCCTCTGGGGCATGTATGATCTTCCCGGACCAGGCATTGAACTCCTGTCCCGTGCATTGGCAGGCGGATTCTTAACCACTGGACCACCAGGGAAGTCCCGGGAATTTTTTAATTTAGTCACATGCGACTAGTGGCTACCTTATTGAACAGTGAAGATGTAGAACCTTGCCATTGCCACAGAAGTTCTGTCTGGAAGACAAGTGTAAAGCTTTCTCCACCACTAAGCATTTATGCTCACTCGTTGTGAACCCCCACTCTATGAGGTTATTACAAAAAGGACTGAAGTACTAGTTGAAGTGGGTTAGAATGTTCTTGCGATCCAGAATTTTGCTATGGTGCATCTCATCAGTGCCAAGAAAGTGAATGATTAGGGATCTTATTTTGAAAAATTGGTTTATTTTTGAAGAAGTCATCAGTTTACAGATGACTAAAAATTATTTTTTGATACTAGATGTTGAGATTTGTGTGTATGTGTGTGTTATTTTGGGTAGTTAACTCAGAAGGAGCTCAAAACACTGAGAGGTCTGGCTATAACAGAACTCTTTTATGTCTGCTTATGTATGTAAATAGGATTTATTATTATTTGCAACCCCTAGGACGCAATGGAACTTAAACTGAACTCTGACTTCCTAGTAGTAAGTAAGAGTCAGTTATACTAGATACATAAATTAATTGCCAGGGTGAGGTACTACTATTCCTGTCACTAAGCAATGCATTTTCAAAATAATCTGTTTTCTGTTTCTATCAAAATTTGCAGATTGTGTTTTAATTCATTTTATGCTCATAACAATTATAATAATAACATAGAAGTTTTAACATTTAGAGACTTATGGTCATGGGAAATTTTTTAAATTTAAACAATTTAAAATTTCAGTTTATATACATTTTTGTTTTGGAGAAGTATCATAGAATGATCAGTAGAGGTTTTTCAAGCATAAATGTATATTGCATTAGAATAAAATTCTCTGGAGATAATGAAATGAGAGTGTAAGTTCAAGAAAGTGTAAATTTTTCCAGGTTTCATAGTTAAGCATATTCATGTTGTTGTTTGTTTTGTTTCTGGCTCCCTGGAGTCTTAGTAGTGGTATGCAGGATCTTTAGTTGCCTTATGTGGGATCTAGTCCCCGCCCCATCCCACTTCCCCCACATTGGGAATGCAGAGTCTTAGCCACTGGACCAATAGGGAAGTCTCTCTCTTTTTTTTAAAGCAGATGTTGTGTATCAAATCAATATGGCATTTGGATCTTACTGTGTTCATTTAAAAGAATGATGTAACAGTTCTAGGATAATATGTTAATTTTTTCAGTACTCCAGAAGTTACATTTTTTGCCACTTAAAAATATTCATAAATTTTTCAGATCTTTAGAAATACAGGAACAAAAAAATTTGAACACCTCTGATATAGGTCACTTAGTAATTCTTTGCTTTTCTTCTTAAAATAAGATGGTGTTGGGTGGGAGTATGCATTCTACTATTAAAATGTGATGATTTATGTGGGAAAAGATGACAACTTTCAAAAACACTTTGTTGTATAGTCTTTTGTTGATTTTTTAAAAATTGAGATATAATTGACAGGTTACATTACATTTGTTTCAGGTGTGTGTAATGACTGTATATATTGCATAATCATTGCCACAGTAAGTGTAGTTAACATAATTGCATTCTTTTTCTTGTGTTGGGAACTTTAAAGATCTCTCAGCAGCCTCCAAATACGCAAAATAGTATTATGAACTATGGTCACTATGCTGTGTATTATAACACATTTCCATGACTTATTATTTTATAATTGGAAGTTTGTATCTTTTGAATTCCTTCACCCATTTTGCCTCTCCCCTACTCTGCCTCTGACAGCCACCAATCAGTTCTTTATATCTACCGATTTATCTTTGTGTTTATAAGACTACACATGTAAATAAGATCATGAGGTATTTGCCTTTCTCCACCTAACTTTTACTTCAAGTCCCTTAATGCCCTTATGTGTTGAGCCAATGGCAATGTATTACACTTTGTCGTGGCTGAATAATTTTCCACTGTGTGTGTGTATGTACATACCACATTTTCTTTATCCATTTGTTCATTGATGGTTGTTTTGCAACTTAGGTTGTTTCCACATCTTGGCTATTGTAAATAATGCTCCAGTGAACATGGGGGTGCAGATATCTTTTTAAGGTAGTGTTTTCATTTTCCTTAGGTAAATATCCAGAAGTGGACTTGCTGGATGACATGGGAGTTGTTTTTAACTTTTTGAGGAACCTCCATATTACTTTCCACAGTGGCTGCACCAATTATCATTCCTACCATAAGTACAGAAGGGTTTTATTTCCTTTGCATCCTCACCAAAACTTATTATTTCTTGTTCTTTTGGTAATAGCCATTTGATATCTCATTGTGGTTTTGATTTGCATTTCCCTGATTATTAGTGATTTTGAGCATCTTTTCATATGCTTCTGGGCTATTTGTATGTCTTGTTTGGAAAAAATGTCTGTTCAGATCCTCTGCCCATTTTTTTGATCAGATCGTTTTTTGTTATTGAGCTATGTGAATTTTTTAATATATTTTAGATACTAATCCCTTTTCAGAAATATAATTTGCAGATATCTTCTGCAGTTCAGAAGGGTACTCTTTTCGGGGGAGGGAGTGTTGCTGATGGCTTCCTTTGTTCTGTGGAAGCTCTTTAGTTTGATAAAGTCCCATTTGTTTATTTTTACTTTTGTTGTCTTTGCCTTTGAAGTGAGATCCAAAGAAAAGTCACCAAGACTGATGTCAGGGAGCTTACCAGCTGTGTGTTATTCTAGGAGTTTTATGTTTTCAGGTCTTACATTCACATTTAATCCATTTTGCATTATTTGTTTTATGTATGGTGTATTATAAAGGTCCAGTTTCATTCTTTTGCGTGTGGTTGTCCTGTTTTACCAACAGTGTGTTATTAAAGAGACTGTCCTTTCCCATTGTGCATTCTTGGCTCCTTTCTCCTAAGTTAATTGAAATATGTGCTTGGGTTTATTTTTAGGCTCTCTGTTCTGTTGATCTGTTTATTTGTTTTTATGCCTATTAGTTTTGACCACGATAGCTTTATTAATATAGTTTGAAATCAAGGAGTGTGAAGTCTCCACCTTTATTTTTCTTTCTCAAGGTTGCTTTGGCTATTTGGGATCTTTTATGGTTCCAAAGAAATTTTAGGATTGCTTTATTTCTGTGAAAAGTACTATTGGATTTTTGATAAGGATTGCATTGAATCTGCAGATTGCTTTGAGTAATGTGGACATTTTTACAATATTAATTCTTCCAAATATGAGCATGGAATATCTTAATTTGTGTTATCTTCAATTTTGTTCATTAGTGTCTTATACTTTTTAGCGTACAGGTCTTTCACCTCCTTGGTTAAATTTATTCTAAGGTACTTTGTTCTTTTTGAGGCAATTGTTTATGGCATTGTCTTCTTAATTTCTCTGATAGTTTGTTGTTAGTCTGTAAAAACAACAGATTTTTGTATATTGATTTTGTACCTTGCAACTTTATTGAGTTCGTTTATTCTAACAATTTTTTGTGAAGTCTTTATAGTTTTCTAAATATAAAATCATGTCATCCACTTAGTTTGGAGAAGGAAA